AAACAGTCTTGGACCAGCTTAGAGGAGACAAAGGCTGAGCATGGTGGCTAATGCCTGTAATCCCAGCACTTTGGGAGGTTGAGGCAGCAGAATTGCTTGAGCCCAGGAGTTTTGAGACCAGCCTGGGTAACATATTGGGACCCTGTCAATTCAGAAAATTTTAAAAATTAGCCAGGTATAGTGGTGGACGCCTGCAGTCCTAGTTACTCAGGAGGATCACTGGAACCTGGAAGGTCAAGGCTGCAGTGAGCCATGATGGTGCCATTGTACTCCTTCCTGGGTGGCGGGTTGAGACCTTGTCCCACTCCCCCTGCAAAAAAAGACGAACGTAGAGGCCACATTTGTGGATCCTCCTATCCCCCTCCCTTATCTTCTAGCTTTGTGTCATTTTATTTCAGGTCTGTTCCTCATTTTTAGCTTTTGAAACTTAGGATATTTAAGATAAAAAAAGTTAAATGCAATTTTAGTATATCTATCCTGGCTAATTAGATAAGCAAAATATTCTAAAATTTCCCCAGTTTTAGACTGTACTGGATATTCTCCAATTGGATAGGTCAGAATTTAAAAAATCAAAGCACATGAAAATGACAAAACGTTAAAGTCCAATATAGAAAGCATCTGAAAATAAGAGCCCAGTGACATCAGAGAATAAACAATATATTTTTGCAAAGCAATTAGTCTGGAAACTCTAGGAAGAGACTCTGGGAATGGGATAAAAGAGTGGCATTGAGAAGGTAAGGACAGGGAGGGGCAAGAACACTTTCAAGGGACCTCAGTGGCATTATGGGATCACAGGATAAGCTGCTTTCTATGCCTGTACCCTGGCCAAAATCAAGCTTGTTTGATGTGAGCACATTTCTTGCAATGTATTTCCATTTAGAGAGGTGCTGAGAAGGGCAAGCCTCTATCCAGCAATTTGAAAATTTAGATTTCTACAAGTGACCTTTGGGATCTGGACTACTACTCAACAGTCACGAAATCCTGAAGATGAGGAGTGAAGGCTGGTCCAGCATTGCATTGGATATATTAGGATCAAAGGACTCCTGTTTACCTTTGTGACAAGACCCAACCCACATCTGCTTTCAAAAAGAAGTTTCACCTTCTGTCATCCTTCATTCAGAGTTAGACATCCTGGTAGAGCTAGGGCAGAGTAGAGGAAATGGATAGAATTTGTGGTGGCCTAGACATATTTTATTGAATTAACAAGAGCACATTCTTTCCTATTACCAAAGGTTAAACAAAAACGAGCTTGCTTAAGAAAAAGTACTTAGTACCCTCTTCATTGGAGAAGGAAAAGATTATGAATCCAGCCTTTCTTTGTGTTTGCACAATCACTGAAGCATGTTCTTCATGATCCCTATGACTGTATCACTGCCCAACTCTGCCCTTTATCACCACCCTAATAAAATGAGAACATGGAAAGAAAATAGTGTTGTGAGGTTTTTTTGAGTCATTTTCTCAACACAAAAAGAAATTCCCAAGTTTGAAAAGAAGGAACTTAATTCTAGCAGTTTGGGCAAGAGTTGCGGAAAAAAATGAAGAAAAGAGATGGATTAAATAACACTTGGACAAAATAACAGAAAGTTTTAAAGTTCCAAAATTAATCTGCAGCCTATTTTGAACAGAACGGGTATCAGGGCTGCTTTTTCCATTAGTTTAGACTCACATGTACAGAGCTGCACAATTGTGGAGGAGGCTGGCTGTCCTTGAGTGCAGCGGTCCAGCGGGTAGAGAAATGGTCTTCAGCGATTCAGTCTAGCCTACTATAAAAGGCTCCCACATCTGTTTTGGAAAGGCTTTAGCATTTTTTTTCTTTAGGAGTTTGGCCGGACAAATAGCTGTTCAGAACCTGCGAGAGCACCTGGCTTTTGGGGCTCTTAGACGTGTGCGACTTCTGTATATATTCAGTCATATTTTATATCAGTTTCCATCAGCTGTTGCTTTTTACGGATTAAAAGGAAAAAAGACACTGCCAAGAGAGTTGAAGAAAAATTCTAACCTCGAGGGAAACCCTGCTCTGAAGTATTTCCCTAATAAGGTCGTTCCTCCACAAATCCTCATTATTTTGTTTTGAGAGAGAGCTGGAAATGTTTCTAGTAGGATCCCTGGAAAGGGAACGGGGGTGGGGGGAACCTCATTTGTATGTTATTTGGATGACTTCTTATTTCTTAGAGGTGTTATGAAATGTCAACTGATCCCTTTCCCTCCCTAAATATTCTTCAGGATTCCACCATCATCTTCAGGTTTCTGTTCAGGCATCACCTAATCAGTGAGGTTTCTGTTGACCCTCTCCTTCCCCTTCCCTATTTTATTTTTCTCTCAGCACTTGGCACCATCTGACACACTGTATTTACTTGTTTGTTTACTGTTTGTCTCCCTTCACTAGAATATGGGCTTTGCTTAGCTTAAAATCCCCAGCACTGCTGGCATAGTACCTGGCATGTAATACATTCTCAATATGTACTTCTGAATATATTAATAGTCAAAAGTGCCACACATATTAAATACTGTGAGCAGAAAAAAAAGCTATGGTTTCAAATACAAATCTAACATTTAAAATTACCTGGAGTAGATCTGACATCAAATTGGTCCTCTATTGACCTGCATATACTGGGGCAAGTAGCTTCAGAAATCCATTTATTCATTTTACAAATTTAATGTTGGGCCGGGCACAATGACTTATGCCTGTAATCCCAACAATTGGGGAAGCTGAGGCAGGTGGATCACTTGAGGCCAGGAGTTCAAGACCAGCCTGTACAACATAGCAAGACCCCATCTCAACAATAATACAAAAAATTAGCTGAGTGCCTGTAGGCCTAGCTATCTGAGAGGCCGAGGCAGAAAGATCGCTTGAGTCCAGAAGGTTGAAGTTTTAGTGAGCCATGATCCCGCTACTGCACTCCAGCATGGGCAACTGAGAGAAACCCTTTCTCTCTCTCTCTCTCTCAAAAAAATTAATGTTAATCTAAATAACATTGGGAAATTGACTATAAATGAAGATATGAAGCCTGGAGTGTGATAAAACCTTCAAAAGTTTCAAGAACTTCCCCTGTAAAATGATGGAGCTGGACAAAGTCTGGATGATTTTTTTTTTTTTTGAGGTGGAGTTTCACTCATGTTACCCAGGCTGGAGTGCAATGGCACGATCTCGGCTCACCGCAACCTCCGCCTCCTGGGTTCAGGCAATTCTCCTGCCTCAGCCTCCTGAGTAGCTGCGATTACAGGCACGCACCACCATGCCCAGCTAATGTTTTGTATTTTTTAGTAGAGACGGGGTTTCACCATGTTGACCAGGATGGTCTCGATCTCTTGACCTCGTGATCCACCCGCCTCGGCCTCCCAAAGTGCTGGGATTACAGGCTTGAGCCACCGCGCCCGGCCCTGGATGATTTTTAAGTTTCTTTTTAATTCTAAAGTAAGAAAATGTTAGGGGGGTGTGTGTGTGTGTGTGCGTGTGCGCGTGTGTGTGCATGTGCCCGTGTGTGTGTGCATGTGCGCGCGCGCGTGCGTGCGTGCGTGTGTGTGAGGTTGCACTGCTACATTTCACCACAAGATGACAGTATCATCTTTATTGAAACAAAGTTCAATTGCTGTGTGGAGTAAATAGAAATAAATCCAGAGAGTTCATGAGGGTTACAAATTACTTTGGTAAAGATATATGTGAGACATTCATTAGTTTGGGAAAATTATGTATCAGAAAGAGTTAACTTCCTTTTGTAACACATGGGAAATAGTTTGAAACATAGGTTTCTTCCTCCCTCCCTCTTTTCCTTTCTGTTTTACACCTAGTCTTCCTCCTTCCTTTTTTGTTTCTTCTTTTTCTTTCTTCCACATTCTCAGTTTATTAAGTAACAAATTTCAAGTCAAACAAAGCAGAGATATACCAGAAAAAGTTAACATTTCCACTATTTTCTTTTTTTTTTTTTTGATCTCGGCTAACCGCAACCTCCGCCTCCTGGGTTCAGGCAATTCTCCTGCCTCAGCCTCCTGAGTAGCTGGGATTACGGGCACGCACCACCATGCCCAGCTAATTTTTTGTATTTTTAGTAGAGACGGGGTTTCACCATGTTGACCAGGATGGTCTCGATCTCTTGACCTCGTGATCCACCCGCCTCGGCCTCCCAAAGTGCTGGGATTACAGGCTTGAGCCACCGCGCCTGGCCCACTATTTTCTTTTAATTTCAATCCTCTGAAGAGACTAATTTTTTTTTTTTTTTTTTAGACGGAGTTTTGCTCTTGTCACCCAGGCTGGAGTGCAATGGTGTGATCTTGGCTCATTGCAACTTCTGCCACCCAGGCTCAAGTGATTCTCCTGGCTCAGCCTCCCGAGTAGCTGGGATTACAGGCATGCACCACCACAGCCAGCTAATTTTGTATTTTTGATAGAGATGGGGTTTTACCATGTTGGTCAGGCTGGTCTCGAACTCTTGACCTCAGGTGATCCACCCACCTTGGCTTCCCAAAGTGCTGGGATTACAAGTGTGAGCCACCATGCCTGGCAGTAACTAATGTTAATAGCTTCTTTTTTCTCATTTCTTCCTGTATATTCATACATATACATACACATGCAGACATATGTGTTTCTTTTGAGCTTTAATATCTGATCATCTGTTGGTAGATAAATTTAGATGGTTGAAAACTCTGTCTCTTTCTTATTGTCACAAGCAGCACCACCACCACCATTATCACCACCAACACACACACACACACACACACACACACAAACATACACACACACGTCCCACCTCTAATTACACCCTTGTTTCCATTTTTCCTTGTCTTGAGAAGAGAAACACTTATGATGGGAAATTGAATACTTTAACTTACGTTATTTCTATTTGCCTTCTCTGTTCTTTATACATTATCCTTTTTCAATCTTCACCAGAATCACTTGGATAAAAACCTGTGAATTTCTCGGTAGGAAATGTTCATGTGAAGACACTTCTGTAGTAGCAGAACCTATAGTGCTCCTGTAGAAGGAAATTGAAAGTCATCCCTTCACGAAAGGGGCCCTCCCCTTGAGATGCTACTGGGTTTTACATCCAGACTGAGCTTCCTTCCCTCACCCACATGAAGTGCCTACCTTCTGCAGACTCAGTGGCTCAGGAACTGGGGATGCAGTGCCAGGCTCGTGGTATCCTGCAGCAGATGTGGGGAGTTTTCCTTCTTTATGTTTCCATGAAGATGGGAGGTAAGTCTCATTCTAATAGCAAATGCTGCTGGGAATTTTCAAAACAATTTTCTTTCAGCTAAATGATTGCCACTTTTGACATTTGTAACAAGAGTCTTTCTTGATAGATATTTTCTTTATGTGGTGCTAATTGTTATTGGATATCAAATAATATCTATTGCTGCTGCTACTGTGATGTCATTTCTTTCTAAGAAACTCCCCTAATGGCAGTTCTTTTGTGACCACATGGAGGCAACATTTAAAATAATGATGGGGTTTCCAGGAGCGCCACCCTAATAACAGTCATGTGTCTCATCATAGGCACTGCAGGACAAAACATTGGCCAGCCCACGGAGGTGGCAGCTATGGAAGGAGCCATTGTCCAGATCAAATGCACATATCAGACAACTGGGTTCAACGGGCTGTCCTGGTACCAGCAACGTGATGGCAAAGCACCCACATTTCTTTCTTACAATGTTCTGGATGGTTTGGAGGAGAAAGGTCATTTTTCTTCATTCCTTAATCGCTCTAAAGGGTATAGTTACCTCCTTGTGAAGGAGCTCCAGATGAAAGACTCTGGCTCTTACCTCTGTGCTGTGAGGGACACGGTGACTATGAGGCCTCTTTAGCTGCACCAAAATTGAAGAGGCAATCAGAGCAGTGAGAAGTTATATTTCCTGAGTGTATGCCTGCTGTAAGTTAAGACTGGGGACTTTGGAACCAGACTGCCTGGACTTGAGTTTGCTACTTTCTAGTTGGATGGTCTTCAGCCAGTCACTATATTTTTGTTTATTTCCTTATCTATAAAGTGAGAATAATAAGAGTATCTACCTCACAAGGCTGTTGTGAGTTATGATTCTCTATTTATATTAGCTATGTCTATATCTAGAGCTATATCTAGTGTTACTGAGAGCAGTAGTGGCACACAGTAAGCTCTATTCAAGTTTACTTATTTCAATTCTAGTCTTGAATTTTCACTAAGTTTTGTGTGTTAGGGCCTCTGGGACTGGAACTCAGTATTTCTCTCCCCTTGTTTTGTAAAAGGTGAAATCCTGACCACTATTTGTATCTTGTGGATCTAAAGCTGTAAGATGGGGTTTGTCATTGGGGTGGATTGCTGCCCTGGAGGGATCACTGCGGTGATACTCATTTTCTTCAAGGAGACTCTGAACTTTGGAAATCCAAATTCAAATGCTTCAGAGTGAGATATTAAGTATTCTGGTTAATTATGTAAGGCTATCTTCATCATGTGCATCCTCGATAAGTAAATATAATCTTAACATATTTTGGAGGTTTATAACTCAGGTTAGAAGTGAAGTTTAGGGGCTTTAGACTTGAGGAGGATGAACATAATCAGGGGAGCCAATAGAAGATGGCAAAGAAGAGTGAAGATAGCAATTTGGTGGCAAATCTGGGTGAAGCAGGAGAGCCAGTAGTGGATTTCTTTCTTTTTTTTTTTTTCTTTTGAGACCGAGTTTTGCTGTTGTTACCCAGGCTGGAGTGCAATGGTACGATCTCGGCTCACCGCAACCTCTGCCTCCTGGGTTTGGGCAATTCTCCTGCCTCAGCCTCCCGAGTAGCTGGGATTACAGGCACGTGCCACCGTGTCCAGCTAATTTTTTGTATTTTTAGTAGAGACGGGGTCTCACCATGTTGACCAGGATGGTCTCGATCTCTTGACCTCGTGATCCACCCACCTCGGCCTCCCAAAGTGCTGGGATTACAGGCATGAGCCACCCCGCCTGGCCCCAGTAGTGGATTTCTATGGCAAGAGGTAGTCAATAGGCATTAATCACAATACAGATCTACAGTAAATGTTAAGATTTTCCTTTCTTGCTTTATAATTTCCTTATGTTCTCTTCCAATTTTTAAATGAAATCCGTTAAATGCTACAGCCTGCTGTCAGCTAGGTCTAGAGAGTACACGATTGTTGTGTGGCTGCCTCCACATGAGAAAAAGTCGACCTGAGAGCAGAAGCTCAGATTGCAGGTTATTGGGACATCGAAAGTGAGGGCTGCTCCAAGTTAACATAGGTTTATGATCAGTCATATGTTACATATATATATATATATATATATTTTTTTTTTTTTTAAATCAAGGATTAAACAAAATTCTCTTCAGGTGAGGTAGGAGTGCTTTTTCATTCTAAGTTATAAAATGAACATTTGAGATGGAATTTGAACAGACATAGTCATGTTTGAAAGCAATCTTGACAATATGAATCCAGGCCTCTAAAACGTTCATGTTCCTTCTGTCTGATGATTCATTTTTTTTTGAATTCTCATTTAAATAAATATAGGCTAGAAATCAGGTTTTGTTTTTTTCCAGTTTACAAGGAAACCAAAGAAACCATAGAAATGAGATTTCAGGGCTTTGGACTTGGTGAGTATGAATTGTTCATATAGTGGCATTATTAATCAGGGAAAACAATATTATGCAAATGATATTATGAATGCTATGATCAATGGAATATTTTAAAGTTGTCTTAGTTTCTATTGCTGCACAACAAATCACCACAATACTGATATATTAGTTTATGGTTCTGTAGGTCATAAGTCCAAGCAAGTTCATCTGAGTTCTATGCTTAAGTCATAACAACAGTAAAGTCAAGTCATTGGCTGGGTGAGTACTCAAGTGGAGTTCAGAGTCCTCTTCCAAGTTAATTCATTAGATTTATTAAAATTTTAAATAAATTTTTTAAAATTTAGAGACAAGGTGTTTCTTTGCTGCCCAGGCTAGAGGGAAGTGACACGATCAAAGGTCACTGTGGGGTCAAACTCCTGGGCTCAGGCAATTTTCTCACCTCAATCTACCAAGTAGCTAGGGCTATAGGCACACACCACCATACCTGACTAATTAATTTTTTTTTTTTTTGTAGAGACAGGGTTCTGCTATGTTGCCCAGGCTGGTTTTGAACTCTTGAGCTCAAGCAATCCTCTGACCTCAGCTCCCTGAGTTGGGATTACAGGTGATTTATTTATTTATTTATTTCTGAGAGATGGAGTCTTGCTCTGTTGCCGAGGCTGGAGTGCAGTGGTACGATCTTGGCTCACTGCAACCTCTGCTTCCTGGGTTCAAGCAATTCTCGTGCCTCAGCCTCCCGAGTAGCTGGGATCACAGGTGCCTGCCATCATGCCTGGCTAATTTTTCTATTTTTAGTAGAGATGAGGTTTCATCTTGTTGACCAGACTGGTCTCAAACTCCTGACCTCAAGTGAGCCACTAGCCTTGGCCTTCCACAGTGCTGGGATAACTGGTGTGAGCCACCATGCCCAGCCAGTTCTTATTATCATCAGAATTCTAGTCCATGCATGATGGACTAGAAGATGTGGGACTGAAGTTCCCATATTCTTAATGTTTTTGGGCTGGGGGCATTTCTGAGCTCCTTAAGGCAATCTGCATTCCTTCTTATGTGATTCCCACCATCCTCAAACCAGCAGTCGTATGTCAAGTTCTTCTCATGCTTGGAATCTTTCTGGCTTCATCTTCCAGACAAAGTTCATGTGTTTTTAAGGTCTCATGTCATCAGGCACATAGATATCTCCCTTTAAAATGGTCAACTGTTGGCTGAGCACAGTGATTCACACCTGTAATCCTAGCTGTTTGGGAGGCAGAGTTGGGTGGATCACTTGAGGTCAGGAGTTCAAAACCAGCCTGACCAACATAGTGAAACACTGTCTGTACTAAAAATGCAAAAAAAATTTAGCCAGACACGGTGATGGGTGCCTATAATCCCAGCCACTAGGGAGGCTGAGGCAGGAGAATTGCTTGAACCCTGGAGGCTGAGGTTGCAGTAAACCGAGATTGTGCCACTGCACTCCAGCCTGGGCAAGGGAGCAAGACTCTGTCTCAAAAAATAAAATTTCTTTTTCTTTCTTTTTCTTTAATAGAGATGGGGTGTCACCGTATGACCAGGCTGGTCTTGAACTCCTGACCTCAGGTGATCCGCCCATCTCAGCCTCCCAAAGTGCTGGGATTACAGGCGTGAGCCACCACACCCGCCCCCCCCCTTTTTTTTTTTTAACCTTTATTGGATTTAGACTATTGAATAATTAAGGCAGAGTGAAGGAGAAAAAAGGGCTACTTCTTTAACATTTTAGTATCCAGATAGTATAGTAGAAACTGTTCCTAGGGACAATGTATATGCCATTAATCACATTGAATAAAGCAGGTGAATTATTCATTTTAATTTTCTTTTTGTTGGAGAAGCTTGCATATCTCCCTTTGGCCTTTCCAGTGTGGTTTGAAATGAGTCCATGTTGGTTTAGTTGAGGAAGCAACAGTGAGAAAGTCACTATCAGGTAGATGAGAAGCAGGTTGTGGACTTGCTGTCCCACCCAAGCAACTGCAGTGAGATAAATGATCATGGCCATGAAACGCATTTCAGGCTTTTCTTCCTTCGGTGTAAAGATATGTTTCCACCAGTCCATAGCTCTGCATCGAGTTTTTAGTAGATTGGTGCAAATTTCATGGAATCTTTGCTGTTGATCACTGGTGCACTTATTGGAGTCAAAAATGTTAGATGCTAGAATGGGAGCAAGGTATTCAGCCAAGCACCAAAACATAACAAAAGAGGAAATAGCAGACAGAATAGATAGATCTAGATAGTAGATAATTAAAACACCAAAGAAACCAGGTCCAAGATGGCAAGTGAAACCCATAATAGGTTTTCAAGTTGTTTCCCATAATAGGACCTTATCTACTATCAATATCACTTTTTCCCATTCTTGCAGCTATTCTCTAAACCTGCAGTCTCTGCAGCCTGCAAATTGTGATTACCTCCCTCTGTCATCATCCCTGAGGTGCTGTCTCAGCAAGCTCCAACCTCTGTCCAACTCAACCTTCCTCCTAAGACCCACAGGGCGACTCCAGCCACTTCTGCTGTATTCTGTGGGTCACACAGACTCACCCTTATACAGTGTATAAGGGGACTGCCCAGTGGCATGAATACAAGAGATGTTGGAGATCATTGAGGTCACCTTGTTGACTGGCTACCAGTCAGTGCTGATAGTTGAAAGTTGGGCCAGTGTGCTAACACATGAAAAATGTTAATAGGCTACGCAGGGGAGGGTATTGATAGTGTTGGTCAGCTCTTCCACTGCTTTGATACACTCTTACCCAACCTTATATTTGCTTTGTCCTGTCATTTATTCCTCAGTGTGGTGGCTGATTACAGTTTCTTAAAAAAAAAAAAAAAAAAAAAAAAAACCTAAAACAGAAGAGTTAGTCAGATAAGCATAGTCATTGTGCTGCAGTTGGTCCCAAGACCATTATTGTTATCTATTGTCTCCCTCTTCTGTCACTCATTCTAGGCTCCCTCATGCAGCATTTCTGGTGGTCTCAGTTTCTTGCTCTTTGGTGACTCAGACCTTCATCCCTGAAGGGCCTAAGTCCCTGGTTACTGTACCTTTTTCAGACCTTGGTTGATGCAATTACCTCTTCAGTGCTATCACCAAGCACGGAAACAACAAGACATGTTCCAATAAATCTCTGAGTTCCATTCATACTTCTCTCTATCCCCATTACATAGTAGCAACTCTATATCCTCATGATTATAGTCAATTACATCCACCCTATAGTTTTGACAAATTTGGAGAGTTTTCAGGCATTATTTCTTTGAATAGTTTTTCATTCCCACGGCTTTTCTCTTATTCAAAAACTCCAATGATATGAATTTAGATTTCTTGTTATTATCCTATAGGTCTCTGAAACTACTAATTTTTTTTTCAGTTTTTTTTTTCACTATTTTTCAAACGGGGTAAATTCTATTGATCTGTTTTAAGTTTACAGGTTCTGTTCTTCTGGTATCTCCCTTTTATATTGAATCTATCCAGAGAGCTTTTAAATTTCAGTTACTGTAGTTTTCAGTTCTCTGGACTCACTGCTGCCTCAAATTCCTGGGCTTAAGAGATCTTCCTGCCTCGGCCTCCTGAGTAGCCGGAACTACAGGCACTCACCAACACCTGCTAATTTTTAATTTTTTTTGTAGAGATGAGATCTTACCATGTTTGCCCAGGCTGATCTCAAACTCCTGGGCTCAAGTGATCTTCCTACCTCAGCCTCCCAAAGTAATGAGATTATAGGCGTGAGCCACTACACCCAGCCTCACTGAAGCATTTTTGTGAGAGTTGTTTTAAAGTCCTTTTCCAATAATTTGAGCATCTGATTCATCTTGGTGTTGATATCAGTTGATTGTCTTTTCTCATTAATGTTCTGATTTCCTAATTCTTGGAAGGAAAAGTAATTTTTGAATGTAGCCTGGACATTATTATTTTTTTTTTAAATTAGGAAACTCTGGATCCTGTTTAATCTTTTTTTTAGAAGGTAGTTTTCCTGTAGAGGTGTAGTGTAAAGTTTGGTGGATGTATATCTTCAGTTTCCTGCTGGGTGCCACTGGCACCACCCCAGCAAAAAGGGGGCCACTAAATCACGTT